CCCATACGGGCAAAATTAACGCAATAAAACTATCGCGATACGCGATCTATTAGCTTAATTCGGTATTAAAATTCGGCAAAATGGAAGACGACTTCAACAAAGAAGGTTTCAAAGGAGTGGTACATTCACCACCAACAACCTTGAGATCGGGGAAAGTCAGAAACCCACTAAGTAAGACCGATGATCCGCAACAAGGAACTTCAACCGCGAAAAATCCCGAAGACGGAGCCGAAGATAGAATCCAGATCCTAGAGGAACAGGTCAAAGCCATGTCAAATGCGCTTAAAAACGTAGAGCTATCGGCAAGTCGATACGCCTCGCAAGACTCGTTAGAGTATATAGAGAGGAACACAAACGCGATCGATCCGAGAGTAAATACAACGCAAAACATTGGTATACGCCTACCAAAGGGAGGATGGTTAAAGAGCCCATTCGAGGAGCTAAAATTCAATGGAAAAACAGAAGATATGAACCCCATGCGGTTCTTAAAGAAATTCAATTTGATCGCGAACTACGAAGAGATCGACGACCGGGATCTAATACACTTTTTTGGAAGATGTATGAAGGACCAAGCGGCCGTATGATATGAGGTCCAAGATTTCGCACATATAAACGAGGCCCGGGAGGCGTTTATTCAACGTTTCTGGGGAGATACCCAGCAAGCCAAATTTCGCGAAAAACTCTATATGGGGCAGTACAAACCTGGAAAATCGTCAACAATGGCGGATTACGCCCTGGATTTAGCCAGACAAGCAAAATTGCTTGAACCCCCAATGGGAGATGCGGAAATAATACGCTGCGTTAAAAGGCACTTCGATAAAGAAGTCGCGCGTGAAATCAAGTGGTCAACCACTAAAAATATTTCCGAACTAACGTCGATCCTTGAGGAGATACACGACGAGAAACAGGCGACTGCGGAGACTAAGTCAGCGAGAGACAAGTCATCAGAGAAAGCCTCGACCAAAAGTGCAACAAAGAAGAGACAAGACCCGGCGACACAATACCAGAAAACCAAATGGAACTCGAAAAAGAGTCCATACGTCCGAAATAAGGAGCAAAAAGCGCTTCCATGGTACGGACAGGAAGCAAAAAAGTCAAAGCCGAAGGTGGAGTTTCCAGAATCTGAGTCCGATGAAGAGGACCGGCAGAATAAAGCAACGAAATCGAAGGATGCCTCAAGAGGAAGAAAAACATCCAACGAGACGAAAGCGCCGAAGAAGAAGGGAATTTCTACCATTAAGCAAAGACAGCTTTCATCGACGGATTCGGAAGAGACTACGGACGAAAGTAGCCCAAATGACAATCCGGAAGAGTCCTTCGAAGAGAAAAAAATCTCGATTATGAGGACCCAAAAGATCATCAAAGATCTAAGCGATGACGAGGTTCATAATAAGAACAAGTCACAATCGAAACCAATTATCGACATTAAAATTGGAAAAACTAAGATACGCGCACTAGTCGATACAGGTGCGGAGATATCTGTCATGTCCAAAAACACGTTGGACAGCCTGATAAAAGCCGGAGAGAATTTCGATCGAATTCCGGTGAGAAAATGCAAATTGAAAGGTGCTTTTGGCGAGCAGGAGCTCACAATAGCATGCAAGATCCAATTATCGATAAATATCGAAAAGAATCGACTATTGCAGGAATTTTATGTAGTCGATAGATTATCGTACCCAATGGTATTGGGAAACGATATGTTGACCAAGTTTAGCGCGAGAATTAAATATCGCGAAAACAGGTTCAACGTCAAATTCAGAAACAACGAAGAAGTCAAGTCAATTCTATCGATCGCCATGTCTGAAGTAGAAGGGGGCGTCGAATTAAAAAGAATACTAAAGAAACATCCAAAAGTATTCGAAGACAAAATCGGCAAGGTAACCCACTACGAACATAAAATAGAAATGAGCGACGATAAACCGTACAAAAAGAAACCATATCCCGTTCCTGAGGTACACAGAGACGCGGTACGCAAAATGATAAAGGAATGGATTCAACAAGGAATCATCAAAAAAGCCGCGACTCAATATATCAACCCATTGGTCACGGTTAAAAAGAAATCCGGAGACTTGCGGATATGCTTGGACGCGAGAGAGATAAACAAGAAAATGGTGGCGGACCACGCACAACCTCCAACTATTGACGAGGTGTTCAGCCGCATAGGAAATAAAAAATATTTCTCCACGCTAGACGTCACCCAGGCATTTTGGCAAATTCCCCTAGATAAAACTAGCAGAAAATACACTGGTTTTATGTTCGATGGCCAATCATATGTTTTTAAGAGATTACCATTTGGATTGAAAACAGCCGGTGCGTCTTTTACAAGAGCCATGAATAAGGCATTAAAGAATGATAATCTAGAATTCGTTATCGTATATCTCGACGACATCTTGATCGCATCGAACAGTCTCCAAGAACATCTGAAACATATAGATCTCGTGATTGGACGATTGGAAGACGTTGGTTTCAAACTCAATAAAGAGAAATGCGAATTCCTAAAAAAGGAAATAAAATTCCTCGGACACACGTTCGACAACGTAACAGCGAACATCAACAAAGAAACGAAATGTTCAATAGCCTCATTCCAGAGACCCAAAACCAAGAAAAACATCCAAGCTTTTTTGGGGTTAGTCAACTGGGATCGAAGATTTGTCAAAAATTTGGCAAGACTAACGAAACCCCTGAAAAATTTGCTAAAAAAGAATGTAAAATTCGTATGGACAGAAATCGAGCAAGAAGCTTTCGAAAACATCAAGAGAGCATTCACCAACGCTCCGACGTTATATTTAACCAACCCGAAAATGAATTATGGAATCGATGTGGACGCATCCAAAACCGGACTAGGAGCACGTCTATACCAGTACGAAAAGGACAACGACCATCAAAAATATACCATAGCTTACGCAAGTCGTAGCCTAAAAAACGCGGAAAAAAATTATACGATCACAGAAATCGAATGTCTCGCGCTGGTATTTGCCCTTAAAAAATGGCACGTAATATTGATGGGCAGAAACGTGAGAGTCAACACGGACCATCGCGCCATCAAGTTTGTAAGTTCGTGCGCGAACAACAGCGAACGCATAGCCCGATGGATGTCGTTTCTACAAGAGTTCGATCTGGAGATAAACCATATTCCAGGTACGGAAAACAAGATCGCAGACACGTTGTCGAGACAATACCAAGACGACAACAATCAAACATCAATACAAAACGAGTACAGAGTATGCTCGATCCTCGATTTGGAAAAAGAAGACAACCCAGAAAATTGGATAAAGACCATCCAGGAAGCTCAACGAAACGACCAGGACATCCGAGAAAAAATAACGCAACAAGATCCAAACGTTAAAATCCGCGATGGACTAGTGCGGATAAATCACGGAATCGATGAGCGAGTCTTAATCCCGAATAAAATCGCATGGGAATTGATAAACTCTGTACATAAATTTTTGGTACATTTTGGAACCGACAAAATGATCGGATTCACAAAAAGATTCTTCCACTTAGAGAACCTGGATAGATTAACAAGAGACGTAGTCGCGTCATGTAATACGTGTATGGCATCGAAGTATTACACTAGACCGACACAAGGTCCACAATTTTACGACCTACCGGAAAAAGAAAACGACACCGTATCGTTAGACTTGTTCGGTCCTTTACCTAGAACCAAAGAAAGAAAAAGATACATCATCGTAATTATGGACCAATTCTCGAAATTAATCCGTTGTTTTCCGATATGCAACCAAAAAATTGAAACAATAATGCAAACGATCGAAGAAGAATACCTAACAAACATGACAAAACCAAATACATTTGTAACCGACAATGGAGGACAATTTTGTCCAAAAAATGGTCCGACTTTGCCAACGAAAAAGGATGGGAAATCCGCAAAACGTCACCATATAACCCACAATCCAATCCAGTGGAAAGAGTCATGAAAAAAATTGGAAGAGTAATTAGGTCATATTTTCATGACAGACATACACAATGGGAAAAGATAATAAAACGTTTCGAAATCACTGCGAACGAAACCCATCACTTTTCAACGGGAGAAATACCAAATAAACTGCATCCCGAGTTACAAATTGAGCTTAAAATAAATAATCGACTAATTCCAGAGGAAGCGGAAAATCAAGACCATCAAGAGCTGAGAACCAAGGTAGCCAACCATTTGGAAAAGCGAGCCAACCAGCGACGAGTTCAAGCGGAAAAACACCAATCAGCCAAACAATATGAAATCGGAGACCGTGTATGGGTCAAAATTCACCGCAGATCGGACGCAAACCGCAAAACTACCAAAAAAATGCATTTAATTTATGATGGACCATTCATTATTCGCGATATAATAAGAAAAAACGCGTATCTGATAGAACATCTCGACGGAACAATAGTCGGAACATATAATTCCCGTCAAATCAGACCGCATCGCGAACCAAAATTGAGAAATCAAGAGGAACAGCGGATCATAACATCCGACGCCGAAGAAGAAACAATACGTCCACAAGCTAGCGATCAAGAAATAATTTCCGACACTAAAGAAGAAATCGAGCCTCCACGAACAAATAATCAGGAGGATGGACCAATAATAAATTCCGATTCGGAGGAAGATTCAGAGATAAATATGATTTCGTTGATTCCAATCGAACGACTAATAAATAGATCGAGTTTAGAAGGGGGCGAAAAAGTAAATAACCAAATTAAACCACAAACAAAAATTTGGGATTCCGAAATAGCAACCGAAATCCAAGAAATGTCATACTCACGAGAAGGGATCAAAAGAAACTTTTTTCTAAACCATAATTGGTTTAATCATCAGAAAAACGTAGTTTTTCACAAAATTGGAAACTTACATCCACAAAAACCAATTTTCCACGGAAATACAAACGAAATCACAAACAATTCACAAATTCCATGAATAAACTACGAGAAAAACAGACAAATTCAAAAATCAATTCCACAGCATTCAAAAAGTTACAGAATAGACGTACCACTAAAATCATCTACTATAATACAATTTGCCAAACCACAACCTGAAAGAGAAAAAGGAATTGAAAAATACTCACCACACGAAGATTTCATTCCACCAAGAAAATCTGAAAAACAAAAAGAAATTAATCAACAACCCACAAAAAACAAGAGTATCTTACCTCAGGAAAATCCAGACCAGCCCAGGAAGCCTGAAAAAAGAGAAAATAAAACTTTAACTTACCAGGATCCGAATTCGTCCAAAGAGAAAATCAATGAAGACAAACTTGCAAGAAAAAGGAAAATTACCCAGCAACCTGAAAGAAAAGAAAAAATTAAACAGCAATCTAAAGAAAAAGAAAAATACTTACCACCTGAAGATCCCAAACCATCCAAGGAAGAAGACGGATCTCCTGAAAAAGAAAGAAAGTTAAAGAAAAATAAAAATATTAACGATTTAATAAGTAAACAGCATGAATTAACACGTTCGAACGAAAAATATATGTTAATTAAGGGGATCCTAAATGATGTTTTTACCGACCGAATGCGAGAATATTTATTTTTTTCATATAACTTTTTATTGACTATACTGATCAATAAATCCTTTTCCACGATTAAAGTACTTATAAAAACGGACCGCGCTAGCTATGTTTGCATATATAAATCATATAAAAATAAAAAATTACAATTTTGTTATCGGCTGCTTTGTGTCAGTTCGTAATAATACTTATTTAATAAAAAAAGTTTTGCAGTTTGTCTGTGCATGAAATATAGTATGCGCGGTAAGGATTATATGAAGAAATATTAGTAAGCAATTAAAAGTGAGATTGCAAGTCTAATAAAAAAGTTATATATAAAAAAACATTTCACGCATATGTGTGTGTGCAAATCGAGGCTGCGGAATAAAACAGAGCAGTAGATTAGTTGCGTGATATCGTGATAGATGGAGCTGCAACGTGTTTCTCTGTAGCATTCATCATCCACACCTTTCATTTACACTCTACACTTTTATTACACCTTACACTTTTCACTGCACTTTTACACTTTTTACATCTTTATACATTTGTAATAACTTCAATTCATTAATATACATAATGTTTTTAAGAAAAATCAATATTTCCATAACAACACATTCATTCATTTATTTGTTACATATTAATTCTTTTTGTTCTTTCGCTTTATACTTTCAATGAATAAACATTACTTTTTCAAAGATCTGGTGAATTTATTTATAAGTCGCTACATTTTTGGTGACCCCGACGTGATATTAAAGCCGACGCATTTTAAAGGCTGATGCGGAATAAGTGCCAAGTGATCGTCATATTTGAAGTCTGCGAAATATTATCATCGCTTGGAAGAATTGCTGGATATTCTGATTTTAAGAGATTCATTCTCCGGATCTTTGAAACATCAGAGGCGAATTAGTCCTTCACGGAAATTCTCAAATCATTTTATCGGATTTCTGGAACAAGAAGAAAATGCCAATCGATAGATCACCAGTTAGACCCTGTTCGGATACACAGATTGATATGGATTTGGCGAGCGGATCAAATCAGGTTGGATCAGATAATATTAATATTTTACCTTCTCAAACTGGACATCAGGTGAGTGATCCTATGTTACAAATTCACTCAAATGAGTTTCGTTTATTAAAACTACCGACTTTCTGGCATAAACAACCTAAACTCTGGTTTGCTTCTATTGAAAGTGAGTTTACGGTTTATCGAATTCGATCAGATGATATTAAATATAGTTCTGTCATTCGTCATCTTGATGAACAAGCCTTAGTAAACATATCTGAAGTCATTGAAAATCCACCTGAAACAGATAAATATAATTATTTAAAGAAAATATTAATAAATCGCTTTACGGATTCAGAGGAAAAACGTTTGAGACAAATATTAGCTGGAATTGAACTTAATGATGAAAAGCCTTCGGAATTACTTCGAGAAATTCGTCATTTGTCTGGAGGATCTTTAGCAGATAGTGTTTTGCAAATGATTTGGCTTCAACGCTTACCACATAGAATTCAAACGACTTTAGCCGTAGTAGAGGATGTTCCTCTTGTTAAACTTGCGGAATTAGCCGATAAAATTGCTGATCGGGACGGCGGTTTGCAAGTCGCGGAAGTTTCCAATAATGCAAGTAATAAATCTTCGGATTTCGCGGATTTGCTACGAAGAATCGAAGCTCTTGAAGTTTCTCGTCGTCGAGATCGTTCCAAAAGCCGGTCTAGAGAGAATAGAAGATTTAGATCGTTATCGCGTAACAAAGACAAATCAAATAAAGATATTAAAGATACATCAATTTGTTTTTACCATAAGAAGTTTGGTGATAAGGCTAAACGATGTACTTTACCTTGTTCTATGTCCAAAACATTCTTGGCTTCACAGGAAAACTAAAAACGCCGCTTAAGACTGAGGCTGCTTACGACGGTGTTTCTAACAATCGCCTCATTATTTTCGACAGACATTCAAATTTGAATTTTCTTGTCGATACGGGCGCTGATATATCGTTGTTACCTAAAAAGGTTTTATTGAAGCCGTGGCATACTAATTTAAAACTTTTTGCCGCAAATGGTACTCAAATTAATACTTACGGTTCTAAAACTTTAATTTTGAACCTCGGTTTAAGGAGAGAATTCAAATGGAAATTTTGTGTCGCGGATATTCAACGTCCTATTTTAGGCGCCGATTTCCTTTGTCATTTTAATCTCCTAATTGACATTAAAAACAAGAAATTGATTGATAACGTTACCGGTCTTATGAATACTGGAAAAATTCAAGAAATTGCGCATTTGTCAATTTTTACCACATCTCCTGATTCTGTGTACCACAAATTTTTAACCGAATTTCCAGGACTCACCCGTTTTTCTCCAATTTCCTCGGTAAAAACACATGGTGTTGAACATCATATCGTTACGGAAGGTTCTCCTAAATTTTCGACTCCCAGAAGACTTACTCCTGAGAAACTTAAATGTGCCAAGGAAGAATTCAAGTCTATGATGGAGCAAGGAATTTGCAGGCCTTCAAGCAGCTCCTGGGCAGCCCCTCTACATATGGTACCTAAAAAGGAACAAAATTCTTGGAGACTGTGTGGTGATTATCGTGCACTCAATTCAGTGACTATCCCGGATCGTTATCCCTTACCTCATATTCAAGATTTTTCTTCTTCACTTTTTGGTAAGAATATCTTTTCTAAAATCGACTTAGTTAAAGCGTACTATCAAGTACCCGTCGCTAAAGAAGATATTCACAAAACAGCTGTCACTACTCCATTTGGGCTTTTTGAATTTGTCGTAATGCCTTTCGGTTTACGAAACGCAGCCCAAACTTTTCAACGGCTCATGAACTCTTTACTTAATGATTTGAGTTTTGCCTTTTGTTATCTTGATGACATTCTTATTGCTTCTAAAGATGAGAAAGAACATATTGCTCACTTACGCATTATTTTTGATCGTCTTCAACAAGCTGGAATGACAATCAATGTCGCTAAATGTCTTTTCGGTCAAAGCGAGATTTCTTTTCTTGGTTACTTAGTTTCTAACCAAGGAGTTAAACCTACATCCGAAAAAGTGAAATCAATTATTGATTATCCTAAACCTAAGACACTTCATGAATTACGCAGATTCTTAGGAATTATCAATTATTATCGTCGCTGTCTCAAGGATGCTGCAAATCATCAAGCTCTGTTAACAGAATATTTAAAGGACAGTCGCAAGAGGGATAGAAGAATTATTTCTTGGACTAAAGAAGCGGAATTAGCTTTCGAGTCATGTAAAGAAGAACTTTTACAAGTTACTACCCTTTCTCATCCTGCTCCTCATGCTCCTCTTATTTTAACTTGTGATGCTTCTGACTTTGCTGTTGGTGCATCACTTGAACAGTCTATTGACGACGATATCAAACCAATAGCATTTTTCTCAAAGAAACTAGACAAAGCTCAAAGAAATTATAGCACTTATGATAGAGAACTTCTTAGCATTTATTTGGCTATTAAACATTTCAGGCATTTTGTTGAAGGAAGACAACTGATTATCAGAACTGATCATAAACCTTTGATTTTTGCTTTCCGTCAGAAATTGGATAAAGCGTCACCAAGACAGATCAGACAATTGGACTTTATTGCTCAATTCTCTACAAATATTACCTATATTTCTGGAAAAATGAATTCAGTTGCTGATGCTCTGTCAAGAATTGAATCTATTTCAATGCCTATTATAGTTTCTTTAGAAGAACTTGCTAATTATCAGAAAGAAGATGAAGAACTTCAAGTTTTACTTTCTTCAAATTCTTCACTTCTGTTGAAGAAACTTATTCTTTCAGGATCAACCATACCTATTTATTGTGATTGCTCTTCGGAATTAATTCGTCCATATGTTCCTAAACTCTTACGCAAGAGAATTTTTGATGTTGTTCATGGACTCGCTCACCCCAGCGGCAGATTGACATCTAAACAATTACTACTGAAATTCATTTGGCCTTCTTTGAAGAAAGATGTGAAGGAATGGACTCGAACTTGTCTTCCATGTCAACGTGCGAAGATTTCAAGACACACCAAGAATTCTCCAATTAAGATTGCAATTCCTGATCAACGCTTTCAGCATGTGCATTTAGACATTGTTGGACCACTTCCTATTTGTCAAAATTACCGTTATTGTCTTACTATGATTGATCGTTTTTCCAGATGGCCTGAAGCTGTTCCTATTTCTGAGATTTCTGCTGAAACTATTTCTACAACATTTTATTCACATTGGGTAGCACGTTTTGGTTCTCCTATCAGCATTACAACAGATCAAGGTCCTCAGTTTGAAGCAGCTTTATTCAAAGCTTTAACAAACCTAATTGGATGCCAAAGGATTAGAACTTCTGCTTATCATCCTGCTTCAAATGGAATTCTGGAAAGATGGCATAGGACTTTGAAAGCAGCGATTATGTGCCACGAAACAACCAACTGGGTAGAATCTTTACCTTCAGTTCTTTTGGGATTACGTTCGTGTTTCAAAGAAGATTTAAAAGCTTCACCTGCAGAACTTCTTTATGGATCCACTCTTCGTATTCCTGGAGAATTTTTCATTGAAGAAGATTTTCCTGCAGATCCTGAAATCTTTCTTGAAAAACACAGGATTCATATGAGGAATATCAGATCATCTCCTACAAGTCATCATTGCAAAAGATCACCTTTTGTTCACAAGAATCTTTTTGATTGTACTCATGTTTGGATTCGAGAAGATACTGTTAGGAAGTCACTACAACCTCCTTATTCTGGCCCTTTTCCTATTGAGAAACGTATCTCTGATCATTTATTTGCAGTTAATGTTTCAGGAAGAGTTGTCAATATTTCGACAGAACGTCTCAAGCCAGCCTTCATTCCTAGAACTTCAGATTCTACTGAACTTTCTACCAGATCTTCAGCTCCTGTTCCTGCTATTTCAACTCCTGTTCCTGCTACTTCAGCTCCTGTTCCTGCTACTTCAGCTCCTGTTTCTGCTACTTCAAATCCTTCTTCTTCTTCTACTGTTGGAAAAGCTTTACGCACCTACCCACCAAAGAAGAAGAAAGTCCATTTCGCAACGAATATCGTCACTTGGGGGGGAGTACTGTAGCATTCATCATCCACACCTTTCATTTACACTCTACACTTTTATTACACCTTACACTTTTCACTGCACTTTTACACTTTTTACATCTTTATACATTTGTAATAACTTCAATTCATTAATATACATAATGTTTTTAAGAAAAATCAATATTTCCATAACAACACATTCATTCATTTATTTGTTACATATTAATTCTTTTTGTTCTTTCGCTTTATACTTTCAATGAATAAACATTACTTTTTCAAAGATCTGGTGAATTTATTTATAAGTCGCTACATCTCTCTTTCTCTCTCTTTCTCTCGCTCTCTCTCTTTCTGTTTTTTATAAGGTCTGTTTGTTTTAGCTACACTGGCCACATTAGTTCAGAGGTTGTCTTTTTTGTTCGACATTGGAAGGAAAAAGATAACCTCTGAATTAGTGTAGCCAATGCATGCCATTATATATTTTATGTTTGATATAATAAATAATACATCAATTTTTTTCTATAAAAAACTATATATATAAAACAGAAAAAATTTTGTGTTATTTATATTATCAAACACATGAAATATATAATGACATACAATTTTATTTTAATTATATTTGTATAATACAATAATATTCACATGATTTTTATAGATAATAAGTATATGCATTTATAATTTATAAAAACTAAATCTTATTTTTCATACATCGAAGTAATTCGAGTAATGATTTTACTGAAATATATATTTGATAGACATTGTGATTCTAACGAATTTTATTTGTTCGCATATACCTGTAAATTGTTATAAAAATTACTTTTACTGTAAATGTAAGATCAGGGTGTCTAGCGAAACAAGGTTAAGAAATTCAAAGACATTTCCAGGATTTCCAGGACAAAAAAGTATTTTTTTCCAGGAATTTTTTTATTAATTAAAAGCATATGAAAGTTGATTAGAAACAAAAACATAAATTATATATATATATATATATATATATATATATATATCTTTTTTATTTAAGATTTAATTAAATAATTAAATTAACTTAAACTTTGGTACTTTTGTTGCTTGTGAAAGGTACAGTAATTTTTCGAGATCATAAGAATTATTAAATGTAACATAAATAATTATTTGATTAAATTTTTTAATTTTTGAACCTCCTTATCAATTAAATCAGATTCTTCTTTAGCATTTGATAAGAGCTTTTTCTTCTGTATTTGTAATTCCTCTGTACAAATCGCGATTGAGATTAAGAGAAAAGTATAGATATCTGCATTGAAAATTCCTGTAAAAATATTTTTATACAAACATTAACATTTTCAAGGATAAGTAAGAAAAATTCAGGATATAATGAAAAAAATACACATTATTCCAGGATTTTCAGGACATAAAAAAAAATCAAGGACAATTCCAGGATTTTAAGGATTTCCAAGACCACTCGACACCCTGAAGATAAATTCTATGCAATCTATAAAACAAAAAGAGAGAGACAGAGAGAGAGAGAGAGAGAGAGAGAGAGAGAGAAGCGCGCGAGAGGACGTCTAAAAGAATATAGAAGCGGTCGACAGTACAAATTGGAAAGGAACAGAGGAAATAAAATAATAACTATAAATATTTTATAATTATATATTTTATATAAAATAGAATTTATATAATTCACAATTGTGTTTTTTGCTTTATGTTAAATTACATTGCATGACTTTTTTTCCACTAGGGTAAAGGTACCGATTCATCTCATAATTAAAACGTAATTATCAATTACACATCAAACTAATCATCATTTAAAAAACAATGCCCTGAATATTTACTTTTGTTAGCAGTATAAAGTTATAAATACAGATATAATGATATATGTAGTACACATATACACACATATATAAAATATATAATATATATTATTCTCTAAAAGCATGTTAGTTGAATCTCGTCCCTTTCTAAAAAAAGGGATATATTATCGATATTCGACTAATATGCCTTTTTTAGAAAGGGACGAGATTCAACTAACATGCTTTTAGAAAATAATATATATTATATATTTTATATATAAGTGTGTATATGTGTACTACATATATATTTATATCTGTATTTATAACTTTATACTGCTAACAAAAGTAAATATTCAGGGCATTGTTTTTCAAATGATGATTAGTTTGATGTGTAATTGATAATTACGTTTTAATTATGAGATCGGTACCTTTACCCTACGTATATCCCGGGCGTATATCCCGGTGCAGGTACGTATCCTGCAGGCCCGGGCATATATCCCGGTGCAGGTACGTACCCTGCAGCACCAGGCACATAACCTGACGCGGGAGCGTACCCTACTGCGCCAGGCACATATCCCGGTGCCGGCATGTATCCTGCGGCACCAGGCACATATCCTGGCGCGGGAGCGTATCCTCCTGCGCCGGTTATATATCCTGGTGCAGGAATATAATAACCTCCGGGTGGCCCGGGCATATATTTTTGTGCAGGTCCGGGTCTTCGGTTGAATTTTCGCCGCTCTTTATTTACGGCCCGTCGTATGGCCTCATTTATGCGCTGAAAAAGAAATAATTGTATATATTTTACATACACTTATATATACTCTCTCTCTCTCTCTCTCTCTCTCTCTCTCTCTCTCTCTCTCTCTGTTTTATATACTGTATACACTTTATCTTTTCCATTTACAGTGAGAATAATTTTTATACCAATTTACAGCTATATATGAACAAATAATAAAATTCATTTGAATTAATTCATATAAAATATATGTAAAATCATTACTTCAACGAATTACTTCGACGTATAATATGTAATAATGAGACTTACAGTTTTTTTATAATAAATGAATATACTTATTAGCTATAAAAATCATGCGTGAATTATTGTATTGTGCAAATATTATAAAATTGTATGCCATTATATATATCATGTTTGATCATATAAATAATACATTAAATTTTTATTATTTATATTATCAAACATAATATATATAATGGCATACAATTTTATAATATTTGCACAATATAATAACTCACATGATTTTTATAGCTAATAAGTATATACATTTATCATAAAAAAAACTGTCTCATTATTACGTATCATTCGTCGAAGTAATTCGTTGAAGTAGATTTTACTGACATATATTTTATATGAATTGGTTCAAATAAATTTTATTATCTGTTCATATATAGCTGTAAATTGGTATAAAAATATTCTTACTGGAAAAGATAAATTGTATACAGTATATAAAACAGAAAGAGAGAGAGAGAGAGAGAGAGAGAGAGAAAGGGAGGGAGATACACGAAATAGAAGTAAAAAGTATGAGACCTTCGTAAAATTGTATCTTTGCCTATAAGAAAAAGATTGAAGTTGAAACTGTGCATATTTATTAGTCTTGCATTGTATAAATTTTTTAACTTAAAAATCGACAATTATCTTCTAAAAAAAATTACAATTATTTTCTATAAAAATGGAAAATTTTTGTAAATTTTATTTTCAAAAATTGTAATTTTTTTTAGAAGATAATTGTCGATTTTTAAGTTGAAAAATTTATACATAGCAAGACTAATAAATATGCACAGTTTCAACTTCAATCTTTTTCTTATAAGCAAAGATACAAATTTTACGAAGGTCTCATACTTTTTACCTCTATTTCGTGTGTCTCCCTCCCTTTCTCTAACAAATATAACAAAATATTATAAAACTAACCTTTTTCATATTTTTTCCCGGTGCCGGAGTCGTCGTCGGCATCGCCGTCGATGCCGGGGTCGGCGGCGGCATCGCCGTCGGAGTCGACGTCGGCGTCGTCATTATCGTTGCCGGGGTCGGCGGCGGCATCGCCGTCGGCATCATCATCGTTGCCGGAGTCGACGTCGGCATCATCATCATCATCGTTGCCGGGGTCGGCGGCGGCATCATCATCATCGTTGCCGGGGTCGACGGCGGCATCGCCGTCGGCATCATCTTCGCCGTCGGTGTCGACGTCGGCGTCGTCATCATCGTTGCGAAGGTCGGCGGCGGCATCGCCGTCGGAGTCGACGTCGGCGTCGTCATCATCGTTGCGGGGGTCGGCGGCGGCATCGCCGTCGGAGTCGACGTCGGCGTCGTCATCATCGTTGCGGGGGTCGGCGGCGGCATCGCCGTCGGCATCATCTTCGCCGTCGGTGTCGACGTCGGCGTCGTCATCATCGTTGCGAGGGTCGGCGGCGGCATCGCCGTCGGCATCATCATCGCCGTCGGTGTCGACGTCGGCATCATCATCATCATCGTTGCCGGGGTCGGCGGCGGCATCATCGCCGTCGGTGTCGACGTCGGCGACGTCATCATCGTTGCGGGGGTCGGCGGCGGCGGCATCGCCGTCGGCATCATCATCGCCGTCGGTGTCGACGTCGGCGTCGTCATCATCGTTGCGAGGGTTGGCGGCGGCATCATTGTTGCGAGGGTCGGCGGCGGCATCATCATCGCCGTCGGTGTCGACGTCGGCGTCGTCATCATCGTTGCGGGGATCGGCGGCCGGCATCGCCGTCGTTGCGGGTCATCATCGGTGTCGTTCGCGGCGTCGGGCGTCGGCGTCGGCGTCGACGTCGTCCTCGGCGTCGACGTCGTCCTCGGCGTCGACGTCGTCCTCGGCGTCAGCGTCGGTGTCAGCGTCGTCCTCGGCGTCGTCTTAGCAATACTGCCTTCGCTTCGTGCTGCAAGAAAAGATATATTTATATATTACCGAATTGTATATATATATATATATATATATATATATATATATAGACCTATAATTTATAAAATGTAATAATTTACTTACGTCTCCCCGGCGGCATCTTATTTTCCGAGCGATGGGCAATGAGCTGGCGACGGACGACGGGCGACGGGCGACGGCTAACAAATGATCACTGATTTCTTTCGTCTCTTCTTTTGGCTCACATACGCCGTAGTGGTGGGGGTATGGGGAATTCGCGGCGTGACTGGCACGTGCTCTCGATGCGCGGTTGCCACATTTGGTCATTTTTTTATAAATAAGATTTACAATTGAATCTGAAACGTCTATACCAAAAAATGTTTTCAAGCGAGCGCGAGAATTTCGAGCATGTTTTTTTCAGGACGTGCTCTATAGAAATGAATAAATAAATAAATAAATATGTATTTATATATATATATATATATTGCATATATAAATACATATTTATTATTATATATATATTTATATATATATATATGTGTGGTGTGTGTGTGTGTGTGTGTGTGTAAACTAATTTATTTTTAATATAATAAAATCACGTGCGTGTCATAAAGAAATATATAATTGTTCGTTTGCATTGAATGTCACTATTTTCGAAAAAGTAAAAAAAGAAAGCTCGCTCTCTCTCTCTCTCTCTCTCTCTCTTTTCTCTCGATACTTTATGCTTAGTATTCTATCAATCAGTGATTAATGCAATCAATCAATCAATATATCGTTTTACGGCAACAGCCAGTTGCTTGTTCATTCACTCATTCATTCTTTTAAAATATGTTCATTTTTAAACATAATTATATAAATTATTATATAGAAATTATAGGGATTTATATATAATCATGTCAAATTATATATAAACAAATATTTATATAAATATTTGTTTTATATATAATTATGATGTATATGAAGTGAATTATGATGTATATGATGTATATAATATATATGAAGAAATATTTATTATATATATATATACAGGGTGAGCCATTTGAATCTATCACCCCAAATATTTCCGTTCCCTTGCATTTTACAAAAAAATGTTTCAGATAAAAGTTATATGGTTTCGAGGGGGACATAAGATGGTGTCAATAAGTTGACCTCGAATAGTTGCTTAAAGGTCACATAAAGGTCACCTTCAATATGTTAAATGGAACTGCCTATTTTTTATTGCATATTCTTGTAGCTTATCTCGAGACGTTTCCAAAACACTATAAACAAATGTATTTTCGTTAAGTATTTTTCGAGTTGTGAGGCTTGAAAGCTACAGTGTTCTGTAACGTTCTGTTCGTTAAGTAGTTTCCGAGTTGTGAGTCATCTGAATAGTCAGAACATCTGAAGGTCATCAGATATGTGGCTGTTTTAAAAATTTCAAGATGGCGGACAAAAGTTTTAGTCAACCGATTTTTACCAAATTAAGTTTACGAGGGTTTTTGGGGTTGCTGATCACGAATCTGAAGTCAGATTTACAAAATTCAAAATGGTGGTTCCAAGATGGCAAACAATTTCAATTGGATGGTGTTCTCTGTTCTCAAAAGAATTTCTTGAGATATTGCGGCACAAGCAGTCCGAATACGTTCCTTCATATTCTCCTTGGTTGTTGGTTTTTCGCTATAGACAATATTTTTCAGCATTCCCCACAAGAAAAAATCGGGAGAAGTTAGATCTGGCGAACGAGGAGGCCACGCGACTGCGTCCAATCTCCCAATCCACCTACCATTGTATCGGTTATTCAAATAATTTCTTACAATATTTGAATAATGTGCTGGCGCACCATCCAATTGAAGCCACATCCGTTCTCTGGTAAATAAATCAACATCTTCCAATAGTACCGGTAAATCGTCTCGAAGAAACTGCAAAAAGTTTTGTCCGTTAACGTTTTCTTCAAAAAATAAGGACCTATTAAATAGCCATTTACGATGCTACACCAGACCATTAAAGACCAACGATTTTGAAAATTAATTGAACGAAACCAATGGGGATTTTCATCGGACCAATAGTGACAATTATGTCTATTTAAAGTTCCATTGCTACTGAAAGTTGCCTCATCCGAAAAGAGTACGTACCGGAAAAAGTTTTCATCTTGTTGGATCATTTGCAGAGCCCATTCACAAAAATTTACACGAAGTAAATAATCATTAAAATTCAAACGTTGTGTCAACGTAATGTGATATGCATGAAATTTTGTCGCCTTTAATATTCTCGCAACTGTTCGCTGAGGTATGCCAATTTCTCTTTCGATTTGACGAGTGCTAATATGACGATCGCGATAAATTTTCGCTAAAATGGTTATAACACGATTATCATTAACATCATATTCATGATGTCGTGATCGGCGAACCATAGACCCATCACTTGCTCTCTGCGTAAGGGTTTTAATGGTTACCCTAGTTGGATGCCGTCTATCAGGATAACGTTGAGCATACAGACGTTCAGCTCTCGAAAAATTATTCCTACATTCCCCCAATATTTTAATCATGTCCACGATTTGTTTGGTGGGTAGGCTGCCATATTAAAGATAGGTAATTATTGAGTTCTAAAAGTATTGATTTCTCAATAGATACAAATAAGCGGAGATATCGTTGCTATTTAAGCGGGACTTCCGTTTCGGTGCAAACGCGTGTACACGTGGATTGTGAGTGTGAGTAATTGAAGAGGGTTAGAGAATATAGAGTACAGGTGAGAAAGGAGAGGATAGTGTGGGAAGGTAGCAGAGAAGTAGTGAAAGGGTGTGAGGATAGTTGAGGAGAAAATAGATAGAAGAAAGAGGTAAGAAAGAGAGAAATAGGTGGCTGGATGACAGCTGACAGTAGGCAGGGAGTGAAGAAAGTATAGAGAGGAAACAGAGTAGGGAGAGAAAGGAGAGTAAGCGCTAGGGAATCTCTAGGGAACTTCTAGGGAATAAAGAAAGTAAGAAACAAGGAGTAGTGAAGACACAGAGGAGCAAATAATTAGATAGAAGGAAAACAAGGGAAAAAGAGAAAATATAGAGAGGAAAGTGGTTAGGAAAGAATATAAGAGTGTAGATAGCAGAATGAGCGGAAAGAAGAAGGAATTAAGGGAAAGGAAAGAAGTGGAAGCTTAGGAAACATAGAAGAATTATTGAAGAGAAAAAAAAGAGAGTTAGAAGGAAAAAAAGGAGAAGAGGGAGCGGAGATATTTAAAAGAAGTAACAAAATAACGAGATCTCCAGAGAAGGAGGGTGAAGAGGAAGGAGGAGAGAGGGGAAATTAAAAAAATGCTGCAAGAGATGTGGCAGGAGATGAGGGAGATGAGAGAAGAAATGAAGGAGCAGGGAGAGAAGATAAGAGAAGAGATGGAGGAGTTAAGAAGAGATTACAAGGAACAGATTGAAAAATGGAAAGAAGAGAAGGAAGAAATGAGAGAGAACATGGAAAGTATGAAGAGGAGGATAGAAGGATTAGAGAGGAGAATAAATGAGAGGGGGGAAGAGAGAGAGAAAAGGAAGAGTTCACGGGGGGCGAAATGCAAAAAAGAGTAGGGGAGATGGAAAGGAAATGGGAGTTACTAGAAAAGGAGGAAAAAAAGAAAAACATAGTGATAAGAAATCTGGAGGTCAGGAGGGGAAAAGAAGGGAGGGAGCAGAGAAGTTAATGGAGGAGATTGGGGCGAAAGCGAAAATAGTGAAAATAAGAAGGATAGGAGAAGATAGAGAGAAAGACAGAGAGATGGTGGTAATAGAATTAGAGAAGGAAGAGCAGAAATGGGATTGGTGATGGAGAAGAAGAAGAAACTGAGAGGCAGAAAAGAAAAGATAGGTATGGACCTAACATGGAAAGAAAGGGAGGTAAGAAGGAAGTTGGGAGAAATAGCATGGAGAGAAGAGAGAAGAGGAGAGAGGACATGGATAAACAACGGCAGGATAAAAATAGGAGAAAAAAATGGTGGAGATGGAATGAGGTAAAAGAGGTACTGAAGGACGAGAGAGGGAAACATAAGGGAAGAAGTAACGGGGGAAGAGGAGAGGAGGAAGAAGACCTGAAGAGATAGAGAGAAGAGAGGGAGGAAGGGAAGAGGGGGACAGATGAAGAAGGATGGAAGATAGAATTCTGGAATGTGGCGGGAGTAGGGAACAAGGATAAGGACTTTTGGAAAGGATTAGAGGAATGGGAGGTGATAGTGTTGACAGAAACATGGATGGAAGAGAAGAGTTGGAAGAAGGTCAAGAATCAGAAGA